ATATATATATATATATATATATTTCGAGAAAAATAACTTGTCGAAACCGCAAAGTAATTTGCGTGTTATCATATCCTTCCTTATTAACATATTAGGTCAATTATTAATCTTCGTTACATATTATATCATGTGCATATGCTGTCAAGTGTCAACACCACTGAATGGTACCCAGTTTAGCAAACCACTGCATAGGTTTAGAATTAGTTAAATTTTATTAGAATGTGTCAAATGTGTTTTTTTTATAATAATTTCCATCCACCAAGAAGCTTACCAAATATTCAACTCCCTTCCTCCCAAGACATATGGACCGGGACAAAAACGTGAAGTTGCCTTAATCAGGTTATATTTAATTACTTATCGTCACTGCAATTTTACAGAAAAAGACCATTTCACAATCTTAAATTAAGTGATGCTATATCCTCTTAATATATTTTCTCAACATTTTATAAAATTATTGAATAAAAATAAAAATATTGAATATGTCAAAAGTATAAAAAAAATAATCAATATTTTCTTCATTCAATAAGTGAAAGATATTATAAAGAGAATTTAAAACTATTCTTGATAAACAAATTATCTTTTCATTGTTTTTGAAGAAAAATAATTCTAACTCTTGTTATTTTTTCTATTTACTTATAAAATATGTATTACTTTTATGTTTTTAAGATATGGAATATATTTCTTTAATTTAATATATTTTTACACATTATTAAGAGAATATATGAGAGGACATAACATAATGTAAACATTTTTAGTACAATATGTTTGTGGAATGACTAATAATCTAATCCGTTTTCGTGGGTATCCGCCCGAACCCGTCTCGATTTAGATGGGAAAAATTCGTGTTTATCGAGTTTGAGTTTGGGTTCAGGTTTTTTCCGGTTGATAAAATCGAGGACGGGAGTAAGGATATTAATAGCCACCTCGCCCCCGCCTCCATACCCACCCCGCCCCACTTAATAATATAATTAAAAAATTATTTATATATATATATATATAAACCAAAATTATAAATATTTATATGTAAAAATTTATATTATTTTACTTTTCTTTTATTTATTTTTTTTAAATTGCTCATATTTATTTAAAAGAAAAAAAAAAGAAAAAAAATAAGAGCAGGGACGATAGCATGACAGGAAAACCCGAATCCCGCCGGAAACAGGGCTGAGAACCCAAATTTTATTCCCGGTGGGGGAGACGGGAGCGGAGACGGTTTAAATTTGCGGGGACTAGGGTAGGAAACGTAGAACTCACACCCGCCCGGTCCCGTTGCCATGCCTATTGACTAATGACTATAGCAATCGATGCCAGTGGAGTTAATTTCATGAACTTGAACAGAATAATTAGAAAATAGAAAGCTATATATATATGTAAATTGAATTATTGATTCACAACATGTAGCTTGTAGGTTATCGTTTCCACATCTGGTCATCGTTCAGCTCTCTTTACATATACAAATGTCTTGTTTCTAAGTGTATGTTGCTAAATAAAAAATCATATGATAGCAGAACTGAAACATTTATGCTCACCTAAAACAGTACTACAAATTGTAGTTTAAATAATAGAATCTCCAACTAAAATGATTACGATACATAACCCACTCATCCACATATATATTGTTATTGTTATCATATTATATTTCCTTTTAAATTTCTATATTTATATAAATATATAATTATAAATATTTGGGCCAGTGGATAAAATGAAAGAGTGAAAGGGTTGGTTTGAGCCGGTGAGGTGTGTATTTGGTGACATCAGCGGTGGCGGCAGACAACTGATGACTAAAGAATCAAAAGACAAATTTCACGATTTGACGCGATTGCAAGTTTCCATAGCAAATTGCTTTTCCCATTCAAAGCGAGGTAGGTCTTAAATACAGAAATCCCGGTGCTTAATAAAAGTTAGCATTCCCCAATTAAAGTTACTAATATCTCTAATTTGACTGAAAATTGGATTTTTTTTTGTTGTTGCTAAAACTCCTGTTAGTTACCAAATTATGAAAATCCCGAACCCAAATCTCACCCAACCTTGACCTCGCACGCACCCAATGACAGGCGAGGGTAGTTTCGTCATTGCAGGCAAACCCTTTCCGCCTTCAACACGCGCTCTTTAAATACCAAAAAACCCACCACCCATCTACACCTACACTTGACCCGCATCTCGCTCCCGTCCGCGACCAACTCGAAACTCAGTCCATTCTTGTGCTGACTCTTGGCACGGCAAACCAAAGCCCAAACCCCTCCCCTTCTTCTCTGGTCTCAAATTGGAAGAAGGAGGTCCGAGAATTGCGTGAGAAATGGGCTCAGAACTGATTTTCAGAGGCCACGAGGCCCAGCCCGTGGACGACGCGTACTCGCCGAAGCCCCAGAAGCCGTGGCTCTCGGTGACTCGGCCCATTCACTACATGCTCCGCGAGCAGCGACTCGTCTTCGTCCTCGTGGGCGTCATCATAGCCTCCTTGTTCTTCACACTCGTCCCTTCTTCCTCTTCCATGTCAAGCTCTCCGTACGAGGCGCTTCCGATCTCGTACTTTGAGCGCGAGTCGAGGGTTCCGGCGTACCACCACCGCCTCCCGGCGGTGCACTCGGTGGGGAAGGTTCCGTTGGGGATTAAGCGGAAGGGGCTCCGGATCGTGGTGACGGGAGGCGCGGGGTTCGTGGGGTCGCACCTGGTGGATCGGTTGATTGGTCGCGGCGACAGCGTGATCGTGGTGGACAATTTCTTCACGGGGAGGAAGGAGAACGTGATGCACCACTTCGGGAACCCTAGATTCGAGCTCATCCGACACGACGTGGTGGAGCCTCTCTTGCTGGAGGTGGATCAGATCTACCATCTCGCTTGCCCTGCCTCCCCTGTCCATTACAAGTTCAACCCCGTCAAGACTATCATATCCTTTTTCACTCTTTCTCTTTTGGCTTTGGTTTTGTTTCAGTTCTAGGGATCTAATACTGAAATTGAAGTCCTTAATTGTGTCCACAAGACCAATGTGGTGGGGACCTTGAACATGCTTGGACTCGCTAAAAGAGTGGGCGCCAGGTTCTTGTTGACCAGTACCAGTGAGGTTTATGGAGATCCTCTGCAGCACCCTCAGAAGGAGACTTACTGGGGCAACGTCAACCCGATTGGTTAGTATCTTCTACTCTTCTCCGCTCACCGGACTTTCACAGAATGCATGGGCCTGGGCCTGCTCCTGCTCCTGCTCCTGCTCCTGCTCCTTTTTAGATGCACCCTGCACTATACTCTATACTCTATACTCTATACTCTATACTCTATACTCTATACTCTATACTCCCTCCGTGTGCTTTCTTTTTCAGATGACAACTTTTTTTTTTTTTTCTGGGCTTTTTTTCCTAACTTAAAAATACACGTGGAACAGCGCTAGAGGGCCACGTTTAGGAATTCCAGGGTCTCGCCAACGAGGTACCCGTGATTTGCGGGTCCACAAAATGAAGGGTAGATATATTTTTTTGTTGTTTTTGTCGACGTGTCCATCGTCATTCATTTCACTGCATTGCAAAGCAAAGTGAAAAGTGAAAACAACGCCGGAAAATGGAAATGCTTGGTCCGTAAGATCGTAACCTGCAACTGCAACGCTCAGTACTATTTATTTTTATTACTTAAAAATTATATAATAGGTTGTTATTTTTGAGTACCATCGGTTATAGATTGAAATTTATAGAAAAAAATAAAATAAAAAATTGTAATTTATAAAAGAGTACGTCATTAAGTCTAATTCATATATTATAGATAATTATATTATTAATTTTGGTAGTTAAGAGGGGTGAAAAAAATGGGTCAGTTTACGCTTGAAGTGATAAGAGTGTGCGTGGTTAGTCATGTGATGGATCGATTTATGATTTGCGTGGGTGCATGAATTTGTGACAGGTGTCCGAAGCTGCTACGACGAGGGAAAGCGTACGGCTGAGACGTTGACCATGGATTACCATCGAGGTGCCGGTGTGGAGGTCATTTTCTACGGATCTAACTCTTTTCTTGCAATTTAATTCAAGCCTTACTTGATTTGATGGACTTTTCAAGTTATGAAAATTCAAACGGTGCCTCTTCATGTATTGTTTCTTCAGGTTAGAATTGCTAGAATCTTTAACACCTACGGGCCTCGAATGTGCTTAGATGATGGCCGTGTTGTCAGTAACTTCGTTGCTCAGGTAGGCCTTTTGTTTATTTGAATTTGAATTAGGAAGGAATGGGTTGTTTTTGGCTTTATTTGTAACAATTGTCTTATTTGGTGACCTTATGCAGGCACTAAGGAAGGAGCCTTTGACCGTTTATGGAGATGGTAAGCAGACAAGGAGTTTCCAGTATGTCTCTGATTTGGTAAGCGGATGTTCCGTATCATCACTCTTGCAACTTGCCCCTAGCTTGCATTTCGTTTATAATGAAATTAACATATTTTTCGCCCCATCTGTATTGTATGAAGTTCATATATGGTGTTTGTTATGCGAGGGTTGGATTATTTGGATTACGGGTTGCTTTGGTCATTTGGTTGAAAGTTGAAACTTTATAGTAACTTTTCCCCATGTGCATGCTGCAAACTTAACAGAAACTATTCATGGATTTCTGAAAAAGTGTCTTTTCCTTTAGTAAACAATAAGGTTCGTCCGTTTGTTTGAATGACCATTGTGCATACTCGGAGGCTCATTTCACTGAGGAAGCATTTGCATGTGACTGGAAGTGAGCTTGAAGGCCCATGTAGGCCACCTCTTATTATTGCAGTTTACTCAATAAAATTTTTTCAAGCTCAACACCGGAAACAATGGAATACAAAGCCTTAATAAATCAAAGTGGCAGTCCTGTCGTTAGCCGAATGCATCAAGTTGATAAATGACACGTGTATAAGAAATTAAATGGTTACGTTATGGCCTGGATCAGTATGCAGCAAGATTGCTGCTGTACCTTCAGAATCTAGTTCAATATGCTACTATTTGCTTCATATTAATGTGATGTTTATGTTGATATAGGTGGAGGGTCTAATGCGCCTCATGGAAGGAGAACACGTGGGACCTTTCAATCTTGGAAATCCGGGAGAATTTACCATGCTTGAACTTGCCAAGGTAAAGTTGTTGTTATTGTTTTTTTTTTTTCTTTTTCTCTTGCAAGTATATTCTATAACTTATTCGGTTTAAACTGTTACTTTATAACTAAGCTAATATTATGCTGTAACTGCCGACAAGAAAGTGCAAAGATCAGGAAGGAAAAGAAAATTGCTCATAATCGTTTCATACTAGTAAATAAATCCGAAAGGCACATGATCATCCGAATAAGTTAATTGAACCTTACTCATACGGAAAACACATTTACTTCATTCTTGGCATGGGATACCAGTTTCTACACTTTTTCTATTCTACCAGAGCAAATACTGCATGATGCAGTTTTTTGCCTGTGGCATGATTTTTTTCCTACATGGTAGATTATATAGATTTTTAATCATGTCGATGCAAATGAAGAGTGTTAGTTTGGAAGAAACGGCTGTATTTTTGTCGGTGGATTCAGTGTAGCTTCAGTCTCACACATGATAGACCCTATTAATTGCGTTTTTATTTTGTCTGGGGGTGAAGATACATACGTTAATTAGCTTTGTGGGTAATGCTGATGTAGGTGGTTCAAGAAACAATCGACCCTGATGCGAGGATAGAGTACAGGCCCAACACAGAGGATGACCCGCATAAGAGAAAGCCCGATATAAGTAGGGCTAAGGAGCTACTTGGGTGGGAGCCCAAGGTTGACCTACGCAAGGGCCTCCCACTAATGGTTTCTGACTTCCGGCAACGCATATTTGGTGACCACAAGGAAGGTGCTACCGTAGCCTAATTCTTGCTTGGAGAATGTTACATGAATCTTAGAGTGAGAAAGGGAAAAGATAATAGTTCGAGGATAACCCTGGCCCACAAAGGTCCATTTAGTCGCAGCATTATATGAGCTCCACTAAAATGTCCCTTTTGCCGCTTGTTCTCCGTCAATCTTTATTTGCGGGTTATTTACCCTCTTTCAAGATTGATAACCACCCATGATTCCAATTTTCAAATTCCTGCCATCTATATTCTATTTCTAATTTTTTTTTTTTTATGTAATTGGTATGTGCGAGAGGCTACAGTTATAGTTATTTCAACATTTTACCTTGGTCTATTTTACTCGAACTTCATTACTTTACCACTTATTTGCAATTTGATCTCTGAATCTGTAGAGTTTACTAAACATGTTGAAATTATGATGATCATAATCGTTAGTTGCTTTAGATTTCCTATTACAACAAACTAGTCTAAACTAATATAATCCTTGATAACAAAGGAATCTTGTTGAATTATGTGTTCCAATCTAAAAAAAATGTATTAGGAATAATCTAAACGTTTGTCTAAAGTCAGAGTATTTAAAAGTGTATCATGTGTCTCTTTGTTTTAGAATGAGGATTTTTATACCTAGTAATTGTATTCTTGAAGTCTCATGATTTTGTGGAAATTCATTCGGTATTGGATATTGTATTTTGGTACTCAATTTTAATCATTAATAATTTAATTTTGTGTCAAATAGTCATGAATTGGTTAAAGTTGAGCTGCCTTGAAATTGGGTTACTTAGTCTTTGCTTAACTTGGCCTCTCGAGAAAAGGTCCGGAAGGTACACTATGAATCTTATCAAATTGGGCTGCCCCTTGTAAACCTCCTACCAAGTATATTTGGTATGCAATCTGTAATAAGTATTTGGTTATGAACCCTTCAATATTGTCTTTATTTTTTTTGACAATTTGAACAACGGAAAAGTTGAAGTTGGTGACGGTAAAAAACAATTTTCAATGAAGTTGTAGATGCATAGCCACAATTGATAATACCCACCAGAGTGAGTTTATATTCTACATTGCAAGATAACTTCCCAGTGCTTGGACGTCATGTTTGCCAATATTGGTTGGTGATGCAGTTGTTTTTCAATGCTATCGTTTCGAATTGGCGAAAATTGATGATGCATACAAAGACGTGTTCTATGTTTTCATCGGTCTTGTAGACGCTATGCCATGCTACACTGTGGGATATAATTTTATGGTCGTCTTTGCTACTTGCTCACTCATAATGTTGGGCTTATTTTGGATTTTGATACTGTATATTTCTCTCCGTGATCATACGCAGTAACGCAGTTGAGTCTTCAGTATGGTCGGATCTCAGTTTTTTTTTTTTTTTTTTTAATGTTACGGATAAAGTAAAAAAATAATATCTTTATAGTTATTTGAATACTACTTATGACTTCAGTTTCCAAATTCAAAAGTGTAAAACACGCAAATAATTAAATACACATTGGTAAAAAAATTATTAAACATACATACAATCATACGAGACTAAGGATTATTTTTAGAAGTTACTATACATTGAAAAAAAAGGTGACACATTGCAAAGATACTCGCGGTGGAGGTAAAGGATTTGATTTCGGGATTTTTGTAAAATAAGATAGGTCATAATATAAAAAATAGAAAGATAATTAAAGATGAAGGAGAAAAATTAAAGACAATTCTTATTTATGATTTTACATTAATACTTATGAAAGTTCACACTAAGAAAAAAAAATCAATAATATATCATACTTTCTTCTTTGCATTTAATATTACTGATTTGTTTTCTTAAAATTATGAGTAGATTTTTGTTGATTAGTGAGAAAAATAAATTATGATTAATTGTTTACAATTAATTTATTTTCTCTAATACATTTTTTTTATATAATTTAATTATGTAATTTTTTCATAATTTATAGACTAAATAAAAAAAATGGTGCCTCTTTAATAATGGGTGTTGAGCGGTTGCCCCACCATTTTGTGCTTAGGGCCACCATTGGTCATGAGTGACCCTATGGATAAATGAGGTGAGAATAAGAATAATATGCGAGTGTTTGAAAACATGTGCAAATGATCCTTGACAAATTGATGGTTTGGTTAGTCCCGTCTGTTTGAAACCAAAAGATTTTAATTTTCCCCATAGATGGTTTGAAATTCATTTTAAAAATCTCATCAATTTAGGAATGTCTGAAGATCAGACTAATCTTTTACCAATGGTTTTTGAAAAATTACTCTAAGGAGTTGCTACCAATATTTTGCTCAAAACATCGGAAAAGGGAAAAAGTTTTCGCAAGTTAATAATGGTCTTTATAACCAGAATCAAGTTCAGGGGTCGATTACGTATGAGGAAAGTATTAAGCACCCCACAACGCTCTGAATTGGTACCCTATGACAAATTTAGCATAATAATAAACAATGGTTAAATATTTACCCTTTTTATTATTCATTCACATGCTTAATGTCTACATGGTTGCTAGTTGTTTCATGACAATAATACTATGAATCAAATGATTAAATAAGTAATAAGAGAGAGATAGAGAGTTGATAAGAATACCTTTGAAACAAGCTTTATAGAAGAAATCTCAAATGTTGGTACAAAGGTGTGTTTTAGCAGCCTTTCGCTCTATAGAGACCTCATAAACACTCAAAAAAGTATAAAAGGAAAAGAAAGGAGTGTTTCTACTAGGAATTTCTTAACTGAATAATGTGTGTCGGAGATTGAGCCTGGACACACTTATATAGTCACCTAGAGGCATGGAACGACTGTTTTCAAGCTTGGAACGACCATTCTGGCCCTTAAATTTTAACTAAAATGGGCTTTGGGAACATGTTGTTCCAAATTAGGGTTATAGGCCAAAATTTCAGTTGGAAACGACCATTCCAAGTGTGGGAACGACCATTTCGAGTATGAAACTAAGTTTTCAAGTATTTTGGGCCTTTTGGTGTTGTCCTAATCCCTTTAGGTGCTTTATTGGGCCCTTGAAAACTGCTTGTGTCGTTAGTGGCTTTTTGTTCTCGGTAAGGTTAATCCGGACAAAATCGAGTGGCTACTGATGGACTCCTTCCACCATGGGAGAAACTCAAAACGTCCAAGGTGAGGAGGAACTCCTTCCATGGCCAAGATGATGACCTTAAGGGGTGGATTTTCCTTCAAGGGTGGAGTAAAAAGGAGATAGTGGGCGTGAGGGTGAAGAGTAGGCGAATAGGAGAAATGGATGGAGGTAGGTGTTTTGATGGCTCTAGGTTGGCTCACTTCACCAAGTGGAGGTGAAGGCCACTCAATGGGACCCTAAACTCACTCAAGGGAGGATAGGGGAGGTTGTGGTCGTGTAGACCTAGGTGACTAAGGAAGGATTTGAGGCAAAAATGGTCACTCAAATTCATATATTCCAAAGTGTGTACAAGGTGCTAGGATAAGGGTATTTATAGGAGTGGGAAGGCATCTAGGGTTGCATGGCCGTGTAATGCAGCCCAAATGCAATCCAAATACAACCTAAATGAACACTAGATGATGTGTGGGTTCTTTCCTACTAAAAGACCAAAATACCCTTTGACCTAAAAATGGAAAAAAAATGGACTTTGACCTCACAAGTCAAGGTTTAATAAGCCCTATAATGAATCCTAAACTAATTTGCCCCATAATACAAAGGCTAAATGAAAATACATAATAAATTCTTATTATCTAAAGTATCCCAAAATACAAGGGTAAAAAAAGGAAATAAAGCAATAAAATCCTATACTACTTAAAATGGGCCTAGGAGATGGATCAATACTCCACACTCATGATGAGTATGGCTCTAGGCATGATATCTCCTTCATCTTCCTCCATTCTACTAGCCATGGACCTAGTAATGGGTCCAACATGAAGCTCCAAGGGTGGCCCTCCATCGGCTACACCATCTTATCTTAATTTAACTAGTAGATTATTAGGTTTATTTAGGTCTAGAGACAAATTAGTGTATAAAATATTTATCTGATTAAAGTTTAGGAATGGGTTATGGTTAAACATAGGTTGTCCAATTCTTTATTTGCTCACTTTTAGCTTTACTAGCTATTATTATATTTTCGCAATGCATTTTATGTAACTTCTTTTGTTTATAATTTTAATACTAATATCAAAACTATTTCCTTAGGGATTACAAGTAATCATCATTTAATTTACACAATATCAAGTATAATAATGGGATACAAGTTTTTGTTGATAATATTTAAATATGTTTTTAGTTTCTTAAATATAAGGTAAATTTGATTTTGATCTCAAATTTAAAATTGATTTTTCTAGTTCTAATATTTGAAAAAAAAATATTTTAGTCGCTTTGTTCAAATGTTTTAGTGAATCTAGGAATGAATCTACAAGGATCCACCTTGTGGACATTGGGGGAAATTGCCTCCATAAACTTTTAAAATTTCCTTAATATAATGTAATATATAATTATAAATTGTCCTTGTAGTTTGAAATATAACATAAAAATTAATCTATAATATAAGTATAGCCCCCATATATATATATATATATATATATATATATATATATATTTATTTATTGAGTATTGTCTTTACAATATAAATCTTTTGGATTTATCACTTGAGTGAACTATCAATCAAAACTCACCTATAATTGAATGTAATACAAAACTCACCTATTAGTGTACTTGTGAAAACATATATTAAATTCGATTGATGTTACACAATTGACATAATATATCTCATTAGTGATGCTACAAAAAGTCTTAAGGACTAAAACAATTTTTTTTATTTGTTGAAACTATCTTAGTAATTCTAATCCCAAAGAAAATTCAAGTTGAGCCTCACTTTGTATTGGTGGACTCAAGTCAAAATCTCAAGGAATATTTACATGTATTTTTATACAATTTTTTATATATCAAAGTTTAACACCATTCTTCAAGGACCCAATGAAACATATATTTCCTTTATTGTCAAAGAAAATGTTATGTCTTAACCTTTTTTTTTCTTCTTTCAATATTTAACTTTTGTTCATCCTTTGAGAACTAGAGGGCTAATACCATTCCCTGTAGAAATGAGACCTTTCCATATTTGTATATAGACAAAAATATAATATTTCATTATTTTCAATATATATATATATATATACATATATAACATTTCATTCATATAATTCATACATATTTTCACTCATTATTTTCAAGAAATATACATATCACACTTCATTCAAATATAGAATTACACCTTATACTTTATTTACGTATGAATAGTTCATGTTTCATTTAACATAAGCATAAATATCATGATTTATTTATGTATTTTACAATACAAGTAGTTGGTAGATGAACATAAATATACAATTTGGGCTCGATGAGGATGAAGTTGGTACCCTCTCCCACCTTAGCATTTGTGTGTTTCTGCATATACAATTTGGGCTTGGGAAGGATGAAGTTGGTCATAATGAAAGACATTTTTCAAATAAGTTGTAGTTGTACATGGCTATAATGAACAATATCATTAGATTGGCTTTATAATACTATGCTAATGAATGGAATATGTCCAAATCATCAGGATTGTTTCACTACATATTTATTTGTTGGAGGACTTTGTGTCAACATTTGTAACTGATACAATTTTTTTGTTCTTTTATTTCTCAATGTCATCACACTCGATTAATTTAAAGGACTCAAAATTTGGCTTGCTAACATGTTTGTCCAACCAAGCTATGATGTCTGCAAACACAAGTGTAATATTTTCATCGGACTCTCCAGTTGTTATGCCATGACACATTCCGGTATACAATTTGAAGGTCTTGTCTATGCTACTAGCTTTCTCATATAATGTATTACTTATTCTTGGGTCTATCACTGCATCATTCTCTCCGTGTAACACTATAAAAGGAAGTGTAACCTGCTAAACACTTATAGAATAAGTATGAAAGAAAGTTATATATATATATATATATATATATATATGTGTGTGTGTGTGTGTGTGTGTGTGTGTGTGATTTTTAGGCCAAAATAAAAAGATGAGGTAATTTGATAACAAATTAGATTCAAAAAATAAAATCTACAAATCACCTCGTGTAGACTATCTTCAATACTTGTGCTAGTTCTATACATTTCCATTGCTGTCTTTAGTCTAGGCTTGTCTTGGTATATCAACTTATTATTTCTTATCTGCAATCATTATTAAAAGATAATGATCAACTCTTGAACTATAAGAAATAATATTTTAAGTCACTACTCAATAATCATCAATCATTATTCAAGTTTGAAATTTTATTGATATAGAAAAGAGGCATTATGGTAGCATTTAATGTGTGGAGAAAATAAAAAGAAAAGTCATATTTGTCTTGTCAATTGTTTAACTTGTTCTTAATTTGTCATTACTTAATAATTTTCAATAAAAATCATGATGCAATTGTTTAACCTAGTGAGTTGTGTCATGTTTTTTTTTTTTTTTTAAAAATATAATGAAATATATACGTTGTGCTACTTTATTATTATTATTATATCTTATGTATGAAATATTACCTAAATCTTACCTCTTCTCTTTTGGCACGATCTTTGAAGCCAGATTCAATGAAATCCTTTGAGGGGACTATTTTCCACTTTGGAATCAAATCTTCAATTTTCGTTAATACATTTGCAACGATAGGAGGTGGCAGATGTTTTTCCAATATCTAGCATATATTTGAACATATTTGTATTAAGTTTTCCCCACATTTTGCAAATCAACAACAAACCATGTTATGCTTAACAAGGAGATAAAAAATAAAGTTTTTAATGAATGTCCACACTCTCATAAAAAAAATTCGTACCTTGCACATAGGTGCAACAAGTACAACACCATCCCAAAATAAAGGGTTCTTTTTATGCAATAATAAGCACACTGCCCCTCCCATTGAATCCCCGTATAAGAACTTAGCCCTCCCCTTATGCTCTTGGAGATCTAATATACACAAATGAAAGAACAAATAAAGATAAGAAGTTTCAAATTTCAATAATGAGATTATGACTTGTAAAGAAGTAAATTGAATATGTACCACAAATTGACTTGAAAATGTCTTCACAATCATTAACTATATTGTCAAATTTAGTTATGAGACCACGAACACCTTCAGAGCGTCCATGTCCTTCATAGTCAACTCCAAACACTGCATATTTAGCATTGGCCAACCTTTCTCCACATGCTAGAAACATGAAGCAAGCAATAAATCATACAAGGCTCTACCACATATTCAATGTAATACAACTACTAATTGAAGAAACATGTACTAATATCACTCAAAATATACTTGTGATAGAAAATGTCTATATCGCGATACAGATTAATTAAAATTAAGAAATAGTAAATCAACAATAAAAATTATGGTGAAATAATAAAAAATAGATTAATAAAAAAAATTAAGAAATGAATTAAACATAAATTATGCTTCATTATTTCCTTTACAACATCTTAATAATAAAAAAATGACCCAAATTACCTTATTGATTAAAAAAATACTATTTTTTTTCTCCTTCACCTTAATTTTCTCCTTATAAATGATGAGAACAATATGCAAAGAAAATAATGGGGTATTATATTTAAAGGTAAGAAATAATGATAATATGAAAAAATTGACAATTTCAAAATAGATAATGAACTTCATCCTCTTCCAAACAAGGTGAAATGGTGGAATACAATTAAAGTCTTGCATCCTTAAACAATAAGTAGAATATGGATTTATAAACACATATGTTTCTATTGGTGAGGGATTTTCTGAGTGATGATCAAAAGCAAATCCATGATAGCTTAGGCTCAAAATGGACAATATCATACTAATGTGAAAACATGTGTATGGAAAACTAATTTTTTATTAGAGGGGAAGATTGTTGGTATACAATAAAAGTCCTACATCCCAAAGTCTTCATAATAATAAGTCCATGATGCAAGTACCTATAATAAGACCGATCTCTATGAGTCACCATTGAATAATAGTCTTTTATTTGAAGGAAGAATTATTGAAATACAATCAAAGTCCCATATTCCAAAGTAGACAATATTATATCAATGTGAAGAAAGTAACATACAAGAGAAGGTTAAACCATAATCCTTTATTTGAGGGGAGAATTGTTGAAATACAATCAAAGTCTCACACTCCAAAGTAGATAATATCATATCAATATCAAGACATGTGTATGAAAATCATTGGTGCACAACAAAAATAAAGAGAAAGAGTAAAACTAATAGTATATTATATTTTATATTTTATGATGTAAATATGTAATGTAGGAGAAAAAAAAATAAAATAACAAAAGTGAATTAAAGAGTACTAAAGATAGTATGACCAATTCAACAACCATGTAGGTTTTTCAACAATATCACCTTATACTAGTGAGTGATATAAAGTATAGATAGTTACATGGAAAGTAGACTCACCAATCATATGTACAATTATTTAAGTTTCATCTTAGCTAGGTAGAGTTGACAAAAATATTATAATTTTAATCTCTTACCAAAGGTTAATAATATATAATTTTTTAGAGATTAAAGTTTAAAAATAACTTAAATTTAAATAGAGGAAGCAAAGACATTATCGAAAAGGAAGTCAACTAAACTACTAAAAGTTTCTATTTATCAAGTTTTGTTTTGAAAATGTTGATAATCACGGCTACAAAACTAAAGTCATGATGGTGTATACAACTTGATAAAATTTCTATGTAGTTAACTTTCATTTGTATGAATATTTATTAGAATTTATCTATGATTATTTATTCTTAGATAAATGGGCAATTTCTTTCATTTAATTATTGGATAACTATTTTTGAATCTATACAAAATCTAAATGTGTTCCTCTTTCTTACTATACACTTTTTTTTTTTGTGAAACAAAGTTTTTTCTTAAAAGCATATTACGTGCCTAATATATAGTCCGAGACATGTTTAACATCCAAATATTCGATATTGTGCTTTTTCTATTACTAATAAGAAACACACTCTATATGCATTGGATCAAGGTCTGTAGTTTGCAAGGATCTTAATATTGTAAGACGTTTTTTCATATTGAAATAAAATATAAAAAATTTATTAAAAGTTATCTATTGTTGAATTTGTTATTACATACCTTGCAATTCAAAGAAAAATCAATTTTGTAATGACTTTTGCTTCCTTATTTAGATAACAGAATAAAAAATTAATCAAGTACTTATTCAATTAAACTTTATCAAATAAGTACTTATTTATTCACAAGCTTAACCTGAAACTAATTTAAAAAACAGAATTTATCAAAATATTATAAACTACTTTCATAAATTTAAATAATTAAATTTCATCTTTGAAAATTTCCCATAATGTCACTTAACTAGAAAAACATTTAGAATCATGTTATGAATAATTACTGGAAATCAATGACTAATAGTTATAGAAAAAGAAGAGAAAAAAGTGATAAATGAAGAAAAATAGTAAAATGTCAAAAAACATTATTACCTCTCATGAATTTACTGCATTCCACGGCATAACCTACAATGAATGATTAAAAAATTGCAAAGTTAAACAAGCCTAAGACACGATAAAGAGAATTAAATGAATCAAAGGAAAGAGAATTGGACCATGACAAAAGAAAACAAGGCCCTTCGGAGAAGAAAAAGGCAACCATCTGCAGGTGAAGAGTTGCACTCCCCTTGAATTCCTTGTATATTCCTAATGTTACGCATAATACAAATTCAAAATAATATAATAATCACATTGAAGGGGAAAAAAAACAGAACTATGGGTTTGTGAAAGAAAGATTCAAGTTTAAAGGGATTAATTACTTCAAAATATTTAAACTTCAAATCCATGAGAAGATAAGAAAAATATTTGATGATTGTTTGGAGGATATCGTTGGATTAATTAAAAAAAAACTAGTTAATGTTTAGATGTTTCTGGTATACAAGTATGTGAGGTGGTGTTGAAAATTGTTGACAAGTTAAAAATACCAAAGAGGTTTTTCATATGCAGACAAAAATACCTTTTTTGTTATGTGTTTTGCTAAGGTAATTAGGGTGGAGAAGGAACGGTCTTGCGCTTGTTCTAATTTGTGCTTGTTCTAATGAGAAAGAGATGTGAGGTGTGAAGTTTTCTTTTCTTTGTTTAAGAATTTTCATCACTCTGTTTATCTATTTTGAGTAAGTGACAAAATAACCCATTTTGTATTTATGGAAAAGTGTTTTTCTCAATCTTATTTCTAACTTTATTTATGAAATTATGAGCATTTACATTGCATCTTGACTTTTTAAATTATTTTTAGTAAAACAACAAGTTAGTCATTGGTGCAAATAGAATTAAGTTTGAATCCTTTAAATTAGGTTTTAAACTTTAGTTAAAAATAATATGATTGAAAGGAAAGATTCGTAACTAATTTTATTTTTTTGACAAAAATTAGATATTAATAAAATTAATAAGTATTTTATACTAATAAAATGATTATAAAAAAAATTCTGCTTAATCTTATACTGGTTCCACAGTGATTACATATCTTTATACTTTTATTTAAACTTATTATAATTTTGAAATAATATATACAATTTTGTATTACAATAATTTTTTTACCCTCGACATTTGTAAAATTGAATTACAATAATGATTTGTAATTAAAATTAGATCACAATAATTATCAATTATAATAGTTTATAATAAAAATATCAATTTTCTCCTATTAAATTCAAATTGTTGACCCACATCTCTTTGGAATCAATTTTCCAATGTAAAAAGTTCTTTTCTCATTTATCTTTTTTTTTTTCATTCATCTTCATCCACCTTTTTTTTCATTTTCCAAAATTTATTTCTTCTTCCACCCTTTAATACTTCAATCACCTCTCTCCCTCACTTTTATGCATATGCATAAAAATATATTTGATTTTTCGATAACAAGATCCAAATTTTGACAAGAATACAATTTGGCAATGAGAAGTAGGATGAGGAGCTTGGATTTGACAATAGAAAGCTTTGATCTTTCCTAATATATTTTTCTTAAAGGTCAAAGGTCAGTAGTGATGTTCACTAGTATATGTTATGCCCTTTATCATGTTAAAGGTCTCCAAAAAATATAAGATATCTCACACACACAACTTAAAAGCATATTATGACACCTTAGTAAGATATTACTAATATTAATATATATATATATATATATATATATATATATATATTACAAAAAAATATGTTTTTGCAAGATTAGAAAAATGTTGCTAAATTATGAGTTAATATTGTTAATATACTTTTATGACATTTTATCAAATGTAAGATAAAATCTATGTCACTAAAAAAAATTTAACAACATTTTTATATATTAATGATAACATTTATAAAAATGTTGTCAAAGTAGTATTTTGCAACATTTTAATAATGTTAATAAGATTTTATAAATTTTATAATAATATTAATCAATATTAATATAGATTATACTACTAATTCTATTTTATGACTCTTATTTACATCCTTTAAGATTGAAGATATTTAAGTTATTTTTTTTTATTAGAGAAAATATCTTAAATTCCTAAGTTAGTCACAACTAAATTTATATCATATATTAAATTTCATTTATCTTAAGTTTCACTCTTTACTTATATATACATTTTGTGTACAATAATGGCTAGTACACATAGTGAGTTTTTCTCTGACCCTTTGAAATCGGAACCACTAGACAGTGGTGGTTCATCAGCCACCCACCATGCGACTTTCAGAGAAAGTCTTGGGGAAGACCTCTCAACCTTCTTAGACTTGCAACCTAGTCAAAGATGGAGTAATGAAGTTAGAGTTGGAAGGTGGTAATTGCCTTCTCCCAAAATCCAGTATTGCACCAGCCAAATATGAAGAACTTTATTTATCATGGAAGAAGTGTTTGATTATAATAAAGATTTTGGGAAAAAAATCTTAATAACATGACTTTTATACTATTGGACAAGTAAGTTTCAGTGAATTGTAAAAGATTAATTAATTTTATATGACATACTTGAGCCTATAGCAAACCAATGAATTACTCAAATCAAAATGACTATGAAAAAGACTACTTTAAAAAGAACAGATTTTAGAATAAAATTATGAATAAACAAACATAAATAAGTAGGCTAAGTCACAAACAAAGCTAAGAAAAAAATAAGTGAAATTGTGAAAATGTGTACCGCACAATGTAACTAGAAAAGAATATCGCATTCACATGTTTCCACCGTGATTTCAAAAGATTGTTTCTAGAACTATCGAAAACGATTTTTTTTTTTTTTTTCAAATTTGAGGGTAATTTGAAAATATTTTCACAAAAAACTTTTCCTAAAATTAAAATCAAACATGTTTTTAGTTTTTTTTTTCTTCTCTAATCCCTTTGCCTTCCTCTTATTTTCCCTAGCAATTATAGTGTGTGTGACTTAAGGTTTGTAAATAAGTTTGTTCATTTATTAGTTTATTTTACTTGTGATTTAATATATTTTATACTTAACTTATTTTTCTTATTTAAATCCTTTTAAAATATTATTTACTAATTTTTATTACTTGACTTATTTTTATTACCCACCATGAACTAGTCCATATTGTATTAAAAAGTATATCAACTTACAGTCTAAATTTTGCAAATTCAACCCATATTTTATATTCAACTAATCAAATCAATTCATGCATATTCATTGATTTTTTTTTCTTTCTCAATAATCTACCAAAAATAGGTTGTCCTTATGAATATGATCATATTTATATTGCTACAAAAATTATTAAAATGTTATTGTTTTATCTATAGGAATCAAACTCGATATTAATGAGTTTATTATTGTTCACACTTTATTCAATCAACTGAGCTAGACCTCTTTCGTTGCGCTAAAATGTTTGATTTTGAATCTATAAATATTTTACTTTAATTTTGGAAATTATTTAGGTCAAAAGGATATTAAATTGACCATAATAAAATTAAATTTTAAAATAAGCAGTATCTACATGTCCATAATAAATGATATCCATTAAACTAATTTTATGATTTTATACTAATAAATGAAATCCATGTAAATCATCAAGATTGCTTCATTACTCTTTATATTCTGGAGGGCATTAATGTCAAAATTTGTAAGTGATGTAATTGTTTATTTCTCATTATCAAATTCATTTAATTTAGAGGAATCATAATCTGTCTTGCTAGCACGCTTGTCCAACCATGCCATGATGTCTTCAAATACAAGTGTAATATTTGCATCTGTCTCTCCAGTTGTTATGCCATGACACATTCCAATATACAGTTTGATGGTCTTATCTACACTACGAGCTTGTTCATATAATGCCTTACTTATTTCTGGATCTATCACTGTATCTTTCTCCCCTTGTAACACTATAAATGGAAGTGCAACCTGCAAAAAAAGTTTATAGAATGATTCTAAAAGGAAGCTAATTAATTTGGTTTTAAAGACAAATCAAAAGAGTTTTTTTTTTTTTTAAATTTCTACCAAGGATACCTTCCAACTAATAATCAAAGACTAATTCCTTTTGAAACATAGAAATCATTGAAGTGAATTTTGTGTCTCTCGATGATGTCTTTTCTCATATGAACGAATAGGGAATTAAACCTTTGTCAACATGCTTAATGAACCTAATTATCTATCAACTGTGTTGGACCTTGCCGATATGAGTGACATGATTTGATAGTTTAAATTTTAAAAAAAAATATATAAATCACCTCATGTAAACTATCTCCAAGACTCATGCCAGCTCTCACCATTTCCATTGATGTTTTTAGCCTGGGCTTGTCTTGGTATATCAATTTGTTACTTCGTATCTACAATCATTGTCAAAAGGATATAATTAATTAAATCTCATAATATAAGAAAAATGTAGTTCATTACTAGTAAGTTATAGTTGTTAAGTTTGAAATTTTCATTGATGTAGAAAAGGACATTTATGTAATGCTTGATGCATAAGGAAAATAAAATGGAAAACACAATTTGTCTCTTCAATTCTACCTTCTTAGATAAAGTGGATCTAAAATGACCTATTTTTAACATCACATTATGTTCTTATATTTATATAAAAAAAACATAAAATAAAATATTTATTGTTATGTTGCTTCTTTTTCTATCATGTGCATAAAAAATCACCTAAATCTCACCGCTTCTCTTTTGGAACGGTCTTTAAAGGCAGAGTCAATGATATTATTTGTGGGAACTATTTTCCACTTTGGTATGATATCCTCCAATCTTGTAAGTATGTTCATAACAATGGGAATTGGCTTCAACAATTTGTCTGATATCTGCCACACATTTGAACATGTTTGTGTTAAATAGGTCCTATATTTTGTAGGTAAAAAATGAAACTACAATATGCTCAATAAGAAAAGAAAAAAGAAAGTTTAGAATAAATATCTACATACTTTTACAAAAAAAATTCATACCTTACACATGGGTGCAACAAGAACAGCCCCATCCCAAAATGAAGGATCCCTTTTATGCAATAATAAACACACTGTTCCTCCCATTGAATCTCCATATAAGAACTTAGTTTTTTCCTTGTATTCTTGGAACTCTAAATTACCCGAATGAGAGAGCAACTCAACATAAGAAGTTTCAAAGTCTTTCAATACTGAAATTATTGCTTATAAAGTATAAAATAAAATAAAATTAAAACCTACCACAAATTGACTTGAAAAAATATTCACAATCATTAACAATATCATCAAACTTATTTATGAGACAACGAACACCTCCAGAGCGTCCATGTCCTTCATAGTCAAGTGCAAACACTGCATATCCAGCAATGGCTAACCTTTCTCCACAAGCTAGAAGAATGAAGTAAGTAATAAATCATATGAAGTAAGTAATAAATCATAGACTCTAACATAATTTTTTTTATAGAAAGACTCTAATATATATATATTCAATGTAACATTACTAATATTTTGTACCAACAAATACTAAAATCACTAAAAACATACTAAAATCACTAATATTGAGATACACATTACATACAGTAAAAAATTATGATTTCACTTCTTCCATACTTTCATCAAATTATACAATAAAATTAAACCTTATTCATACAATGAAATTAAACATTATTTCATATTTTATATAAATTTTGAGGTAAAATTCTTAATTCAATCGAGAGACTACATTTTAAGGATAATGTTAGATGCATTACATACAAAAATTCATCTTTATTTAATTATTGAAAAAATTCCATATCTATATTAAGATAACACCAAGAAATATGGTAAAGACTTTAAATAAGATATTTATCGAGATTATTTATTTAAGGTAACATCAAGATATATCACTTCACCGCCACTAGTGATATATGGTAAAGGCTTTCAACAACGTCACCTTATCCTCACAAAATAAAGATAGTTAAATATGACATTGCAGACTCACCAAACTTATAACTAAAGTAACTTTATCTTCTATAGAGTTGTCTAACTTATTGTCAAAATCTTAATCAAATTAGTTCATCCCAAACTTTCTCACCCTAACACTAATGATTGAACACAAACTCTAAGTATATTTTTTATTTGAGGAAGTATAACATTTTTATTTTAACTTTTCTAAATTTTTATTTATTTTAATTAAGTTTCTTTTCTTTTAAAATTATAATTTTAGTCCATAGTCAAAGACAGTAAATATATAGTTTTTAGAGGTTAAATAAAACTAACATTTAAATAAAGAAAATGACATTATCATATAAATGATTGGAAAGAAAATCAACTAAACTATTAGAAATAGAGATTTTGATTTAATTTTTAATTACATAATTTTGGCCTTCCAAATTTTAAGAACATTATTATTTTGATTTAATTGTCAAGTTTACACATATGTAAGGCATTGATATATAATCTTTGGGATGATAATTATTAGGTCACATATATGCAATAACATGAAATTCTACCAAATTTTCACATTATGCTTAATAAGTTTTTATGAATTAAAGTGATAAATAGATGTATGTTTGACAATTGAACTAAAATTGCTTAATTAAACATAGTGATCAAAATTACATATTAAGAGATAAAGGGAGACGAAAAATATAATTTAAGTTTAAGATTTTTATTTCAATGTTTCATTTTGAAAATGTTGATTTAGTAATATCAATAATAAAGTGACAAATATGTATATAATTTATTTTTTTAGACAAAATATTCTAGATAACTAGTATTTTCATGAGAATATTTATCTAAGAATAATTATTTTTAAATAAATGGGTAGTTTATTTTATTTAGTTTATCAAATAATCATTTTCAAAATTTTACAAGTAGGGTATTGTAATTTCCCCTAATTGTGTATACTATTTTTGGCAAAGAATGTTTTGGTTGAAAACAAATTACTAGTTACCTAATGGATAAGGGACGTGTTTAATATTTAAATATTGTGTTGGATACTATTGTATTTTGCTAATAGTAGTAAAAGAAATTGGCTTTTCAAGATCTATGTTGTGGAAGGATCTTCATTTTATATATATTTTATATTGTAGTGAAATATGACAAATTTGTTAAAAGATATATAATATTGTATTTATTTGTAATTACATCACATGAAGTTAAAAAAAAATGCAAAAAAATTTGTAATCACTGATGCTTACTTATTTATGATATGCTTGAATAAATGGATCAATAAAGTATTTTTCTAATAAAAATTGTTTTAATAGGAACTCATTTGTTCATAAGCTTAACATTTAGCTTGTTGAGGGAAAAAAAAGTTTATAAGAATATTGTAACCTACTTCATAAATTTAAATAATCAATTTTCATATTTTAAAATTCTCTTTAATTCACCATTTAACAAGACAATTAATTATTTAGAATCAGGTAATATCTAATTATCATAAAGTAATAATTGATAGGAATAAATAAAATGGCCAAGGAAAAAAATATTAAATTCTTAAAGATCGTGTATCACCTCTCATGAATGTACTGCACTCCATGGCATAACCTACAATAAGTAATTAATAAATACAAGGTTAAACAACTACATTTAATATGAGATAAAGAAAACGAAGAAGGGAAAAGAAAATTGAACCATGACAAAGGAAAACAATGGCTTTTGGAGAAGAAACTGGCAACCATCTACAAGTGAAGAGTTGCAATCCCCTTGAATTCTTCATGTATATCTATAATTTTAAGTTTAATACAAATTGATCCATGATTGATAAAAAAAGAGTCACACAAAAGAAAAGGTTTGAGTATGAGAATGAAAAAGTCAGGTAGGGATGAATTACTTCAAAATATTTGAATTTCAAATCCATGATAATGTGAGAAAATAATCTGATGATAGATTGGTGGGTGTTGTAAGAATAATAAAAATAACAATTGGTTGATGTTTGGATATTCACTAAGAAATATAAAATCTAGTAGGATGGTAATGAAAGATGACTTGTTATAAATATCAATGAAAAAATTCTTATATAGGTCAAATGATCTTTTCCTTTATGAGATGAGTTAACGTGGTTTGACTATAGAAGATGACAGAACTTAATTGTGTTTCATTGTGAAAATGTTGTGCAGTATGATGTTGTCTTTTCTTTGTTTGAGAACTTAAATTGTTACATGTATCTATTTTGAGTAATAGGATGTAAAAATACAAAAATGAATTAGGTGGACAAATAATCTATTTTGTATTTGTAAAAGCAATATTCTCAAATTCTGTTTATAACATCATTTATAGATATTATTATGTAAATCCAAGTTGTCAATATTATCAACAAATCTATTAATATCTTTTTTTAATAAAATAAAATAAAAAGACACATTTTTTCATAAAGCTAAATATATCTTTAAATATTATAGCTATTAATTTGTGCATCCTAATCCATAGTCTATTAGGAGTTTATATCTTTTTTATATTAATAAATATACATTTTAAAAAAAAATAAAATTTCTTAAATGTTCTTCAAATATTTCTTTTTTATATTTTTTATCAAATAATTTTTTCAAAAATGTTCTTTTTTGCTCACCTCCTTCTTTGTCTTCTTTTCTCCCATTACCCTATTTTTTTTTTTATTGCAATCTCTCTCTAACGAGTAACTTTATGTTAATCCCTCTTTTTTACTTTTTCTTTAATTCTTCTATCCAATAAGCGAAAGACTTTGAACCCTATTTTTTTTACTCACACTTTACCATTTTTTAATCCTAATTTCTCAACTCATCTTCATCATTCTTAAAATCTTTTACCTTTATTTTCTTTCCTATTTGTGATTCATTTAATACAACATTTTTATAAACATACTATTTCACAAAGCACTTTTTGGAATGAACATATATTATTCGAGAAAGTAGTTTTCAAAACAAACAAATAATTCAAAAACAAATATTTACTATTCTAAATTACTTTCCAGAATAAACATATCATTCAAGAATATACTTTCTACTACAAGTATATATTATTTCAAAAACTACTCTTTAGAATAAACATATCATCATGGAAAATATTTGTTTGGAATAACCATGTACTAATTTGGAGAAAAAAAATCTAGAAAAGAAAATGTTTAGGAACAAAAGTGGAAAGAATTATTTGAGATTTTTTATTTTAAAAAATGGTTATTTAAATAATTTTATATATCATAAAAAATAGATGGGAAATATATCTAATAAATAAAAGAGATATAATGACAAAGAATTTGTAGAATAGTATTGTCTGTTTTTTTTACCCAATCCAACGGTTTTCATGTTGCAAGCTAAATAGAACGTCCGTGGATCCATTTTTTGTAATCCACTTCTTATTTCTTAACAAAAAGGATAAATATTTAATTCAAATATTATATAATATTTATATAAAATAATTAATTTTCTAATACAATATATATATATATATATAGGAGAGATCTCTTCATTCCAAGATTAAGTCTATCTAATTTATTTCATTCAATAATTTATATTTTACATCAAATTTTAAAGATTCAATCATTGAATTTAAAGTTCTTAATGGATATATCAAATCAATAAATTTTTAAAAAAATTTGAAAATTATTTAATATTTTATTTTATTGATTCAAATTTATGAATAATCATAAAATTATTTTATACGTTAATTTAAATTAATAGAACGAAGTATTAAATGGTTTTTAAATTATTTAAAAATTTACAAACTTGATTTATATATATTAAGAGCTTTAAATTCAACGATTTGATCGTTGAAATTTGATGTAAAATATGAGTTATTGAATAAAATAAATTTACCTAGACTTACTCTTGAAGTAAACAGATCCCTCCTTTATATTATATATATAGGGATGAAAGCAGGTTGGTTGAAGTGGGGGCCAATGCTCCACTAAGTTTTTTATGTCAATTATTTTCTTAATATATATTATAATAAAACATATTATTTATCATGTTGAAAATTAAACATTCTATTATCTTTTGTGTTTTATGTTGTAAAAAAAAGTTAAAATCAATATATTATTTTGAAGTATATTTTTCTTTAAAAAAAAAAATACATTTGAGTGTAGCTTGCTAGTTTAATTTTTCTTAAAAATAAATGGACCTAAGTTATTAAATATATGTGAGGTTTGTTAAAATACATCTTCTTTTTTAAAAAGAGTATATTAACAAGTTATAATCGTAATATTTTTTAAAATACACATAAATGTAACTTGTTAACTTATTCCTTTAAAAAAAAGTAGTTGTGAATTAGCAAACATATATGTATGTGTGTACAGCGTGTCATGTCAATTATAGTTAAGTAAACTTAGTCAAAAGATGATGATTTATCAAAGTTCATGTTATATTTTTTTTAAAAGACAAAGTTTTAATGTGAGAAATGAATGGTTAAATGATTATTTTCTTACTTATATAAAGAAAAATAATTTTGAAGATGTTGAAAATGAAAAAAATTATTCAATATTTTTAGAATATGAAATATCATAAAAAAAAAATTAAAATATATATTTTTATTCCAAAAATATGAAATTATATATTTATTACTACAAATTTGTATTTAAATATTGTCTCTACTACTTAAAATTCTTGGATGCATTTCTATATATATATATATATATATATATATATATGTATGTATGTATGCATGCATGTATGAATTTCATATAATAAAAAACTACAATTTTATTATAAAATAACATAAAATCTCTTCATATTATCAAAAAAATCACATCACAAGTAAAAAAAACTAAAAAAAACATTATGTCATATTAACATAAGATTTCATCACATAAAATATTGATGGCTTAATTATGTTTTTAATCTTTTAAATTTGAGGTATATATTTCTTTGATTTCCCTAATTTAAAACTTGTGTTTTTAGTTCCAAAATATAAAAATGGTCCCTTAAATTTAAAATTTATATTTTTAATTCTTGTAATTTAAAAAGTATTATTTTTATTAACTATTATTATAATTGATAGTAATAAACTATGAGAAACTAAAATAATAATTTTTTATATTTTAGAAACTAAAAACAATTTTTAAATTTGAGCAGCTAAAATATATAATTTTTTTAATTATAGGTATTAAAAACGCAAATTTTAAATTTGAGAAACCAATAAATTATATATCCCAAATTTTAGAGACTAAATACATATTTGAACCAATATTAAAAGTATCATCTTCATTCTCAATTTTCTTTGTCATCCATAATAATATCATTTAAATTATTGTTAATATTATTAATTTTGGTCGCCCTTTCATTTGCAATTTTGCATCAATAGTTATACACAATCTTCCTACTCATTAAAATATATAATTAACCATAACAACGAAACGAGGAAATATATTCTTTATGTAAAATTATTAGGCTTTTTTCTCATTTCTAAAGTTGTTTCCAAATTAATACTTACCATTTTTTTAATGTTTGAAGTATGAAATAAATTACTGTACTCTAGTTTTATTTTCTTTTATTCCCCTCTCTTTTGAATATCACTCCAAGCTGCTTCTTTTTTTTAATCTATAATATCACTTCAAGCTGAAAAAAAAAAAGGAAACTAAATATCTTGTTTAACATTAGTAGTTAAATTAAAAAGAGATACATCATAAAAAAATAGAATGCATGACCAACAACTGTGGATCGATTTCCGTCTTAAGCATGGGACTGCAAGTGAAGGTTGAAAAAACTGTGTCTTGGTTGTTAAAAATAAAATAAAATATATTTCCATAAGTTTTGTTTTTTTATTTTAACTTTATAATTTTCGAGTCAATGGCTTGATACACCATAAACTATCACGCGTTTAACTAATAAAATTCCAGTCCAGATTGAGTTGGACCAAAATAATTTTCAACCAAAATTTTTATTAATACAACTCATTTTATATAGGACTAATCAGGTTAATTCATTAAGCTCATATAATCTTGCCACCTCTATTAAATTTTACATATCTCATAGCCCTTTCAAACTTCATAGTTTAGCCACGCATTTCTCAAATATAACACGTACTGGATTAGTTCATGGAATTTTTTTCATTATTCTGATTGTAAAAATTTTATGTTTTAACATTGAGACAATGTAAAGAAAGGAAACATTATATTCATGTTGAACAAATACTGTAAAATTATTTTTTTTCCTTCAACTTTAGATTAATAGTAGAATACTTTAAAAGTTTTAGTTTTATTAAATCATATGTTTGAAATTTAAGTATTTGTTTTTAACTATTTTTACCAAAACTTGTCATATTGTTAACACCAAATCTAAATGTAAATATATTAAATTTTTTCAGTCATATAATTTATAGCACTGAGAAATATAGGTACAAGGAGGAATTCTTATGGACAAACTACAAAGAAAATCAAAATTAAGATAACACTAAAACAGATTCTGCTGTAAAATTGTAAATAACTAAATATACGATATTCAAAAGCTGCCAAATAACAAAACTTTGGTTGTAGATGCAATCCGAGAACTTTATCCTTGAAAAACCAATATGTATTTTAAGATGTTCTGGAATAGTCAGCTGCAGCACAGAACACAGAAACCAAACCGGCCATCCCAACCACCTGTGCCAAACTTCGTGTCCCAGCAGCAGCAGCACCACCTGCTACAGCACCCCCAATCAAACCATTGACCTGTTGGGGAAATTTGAAAACAAAAAGAGGAAATTTAAAAGTAATTTTCAGCAACTCATTCAATCATATTCTTACTAGTATTATTACTCACTTGTTTAGTGCCTACATATGCAACCATACAAATGCATATGCAAAAATAAACCTTGTCCACACCATTGCTCCAACATGCTAGTTACTGTCAAAAATAAAATGCTGGTTTCTAAATCGACGCCAATGTAAGCTCACAAAACTACAATAAATCGATAATATTCCAGCACAGTAAATATGCAATATTATATTTCATTAAGCACATCATTTGGTCAAACTACTGATCATACGCAGTCTGTTGTCTAGAAAGAAAAATCTATCAGCAGAGCAAGACTTCAAAGTTTCTCACAGAAATATATAACCGAGTGCCTAATGCTCTGTCACTGAGTGACGAGAATAATGATGCTATGCAGTGTTGAAGCAAGAAATCACCATACTCACACAACTGATGGAACTTTCCAAAGATGATTAAAAGCAATTATACTCTGATTACAGGGGGAGGCAATGAAACAATCCGTAGAAGAAAAATTACAGGTCCGTTTGTTTAAATTTTTTAAAATATGAAAATCTATAAAAAGTAATTTTCATTTTTTTAAGGATTTTGTAAAAGTAGAAACTATTGTTTGTTTGGTTACAATTATAAAAAGCACTTTTTATTTCAAAAGTTAGTTATCCGTTTGTTTGGACTTAAAATAAGTGTTTTTAAAACAAGTGATCTTTAAGAGATTCTTATATAAGCAAAATCTGATTTCTGTTTGGTTACAATACAATTAAAAATAAAAAATAAAAACACTTCTAAAACTTCATCTCTTTCTAGTAGCTGCTTTGTTTTCTGCTCCTGGTTATTAGAAAAAGTTTACCCAAACATCTCTAAAATTTCAACAAGTTCTCTCTTTTTTTTCTTATTAAAAAGTATTTTTTTTTAAAAAAAGTTTAAACAAACGAGCTCATAATTACAATTTTTCTTTTTTATTTTTAAGTTTAATCAAAACAACTCAAAATTATAAGAAATTTGATTTCTTTTAGATTCTTATTCTTTTCAAAATCTTAAAACAAACGCACTAAAAACCTTAAAAATGATTTTTCATTAAAAAAAAAACTGAAACAAACAAGTTCTACGAGTCTAGGTGGCATCTCGCGCATGCAAATACAAAATTGACACATTTGGAGAAGAAAAAAAATGAGCGAGCAATAGTGTGTTTGTTTCCTACATTAATATCAGAGGGCAATGCTGTGGAAAGCCCGAGTATTTGTGTGCTTGAACATTTACAGCATCTGAAAAGCTTTGTTATTATAAACAAAATTCACTACATGTATCCCAGTAATTCTTATGCAATCAGGGGGTTATGGTGCCTTAGGGCTGTATGTAGGCGAGCTTAAAAGTTATAATAGCAACATCCCATATTGAAGTTGAGGTGGTATGATCCAACCTGGCCCAAGACCAATCCCATTGCCTCTATCTCTATTTCTAAGGGCCTTGTTGCTGCCCATATAATAAGCGCACACCAAGGCGTATCCAGAAATCTAGTAAAAGTCTAGATACATAATATGAAATGGATATGAGAATTTTTTGAAGACCAAGATAGCTATGCCTAGGTACATTGAAATACATTTATATATATAAAAAAATAAATTATTGCTCAATATTTGTAAAGATACTAGAGCCACAAGCAATTTTCTTTTGGTGGTCAGTGATGATTATGCTTCATCAATCAATGAAGAGGATGTGAACAGATGCAATGTGTGAGACTAGAGGATTTGAGACCCACGACATAGGCAATGTGTGAGATCCAGAACAAAAAGAGATGTGCAAGACCAGCAATGTATGATGTGTGCAACCAGCAAGCAAGCCCCAGTCCTTGTCCATTTTGCTATTACAGTATTATGTGTAAAATAGTAACAAGCATTGGGGTTAATACTGAAACTTGAAACACAACTATTTCAATTGAAAAATATCAATGCAATGCATATTTGTTTTAAATCATATCTTTGTATGGCACAACCAAGCTGTACCCTAAACGATCAACAAAGTTAAAAAAATAAAAATAAATAATAAATAATTGGAGGATCCTCCTTGCCTCCCAGGATATGATGTATCTAGGCAGAATGTGTGACATTGATATTTTTTATTATTTTGCCAATTTTGGACTACCTGAGCTTTATAGCTAGTTACATTCATGTCTCTGCCAATACGCATTGCTCTTTGATTACATGCGCATTGGAGTGTTTTTGCAAGTATCTCACCCTGTCTCCTCCATTGCTAACTGACAGGAAGCTCTCTAACAAGACAAAGCACACCCCTCGGCCCCAGGGACAGGAATAGTCAAGACTCAAGAACAACTATAGATATCTAAACATCTGACGAGGCTGAAGGAGCATCTAAACCAATCCCCGCAAGAGAAGGACAAAATCAATAAAAAGTGCAAAAGTCAACATTTTATCGGCCTTACTAGATGCACATATTCAATTTCCCGATACCATCTTTAAAGAACAAAGTCCTAAGCTTCTTTACAGGTCTAGAATTGTTGAAAAAATGACTACGATGATCATTTGCAAACTAAAGAAAAGGATATAAAAGAGAGAAGGAATAAACTAACCCAATCATTCCGCCCCCTGTATTTCTGAACCCCGCATCGAGTAATACTGAAAACGCCAGCCACAAATCCTAAAACCCCAAACGAAGCAACGTTAATGCTACACAACATGATTACACAGCTCAAACATCACCATTTTGTCCATAGCTAAATTACCGCATCGAAACCCAAAACTGCCAACTGAGTTCGCCTGCACTTGGCAACCCAAATTAAGCCATCAGCTCACACAAAACCCTAGCACCAGTTCTCAAATCGATAAACAACAAAACTAAACAAATCACTTACCACAAAAGAAGCTTTAGCAACGCCTGTAAGACCTGCACCCAGAAATGAATGCTCACAAGTTGGAAACAATAGTCAGACAAAAAAACGGAATACGAGTCTCCACGCATAACAGAAATTCACCTTGTTTACGAGCGTCGTAGGGACCAGCGCACAAGCCCCATATTGCACCGGCCTGAACAACAAGTTAATTTAATTTACAGTTTCCTTCACTAGGTATTTTATTTTGAGATTGGAGAAGAATCGAACTAGAGTTAACGATGTTACCGCTCCCACGCGAATTATAGCCTCCACGGCGAGGGAGGAGCACGGAGCGACGCCGTCCAGGTCTCCCATTTTCTCTCCGTCGGCGTGGAATAGAATGGAATAGAACACAATGGAATATTTTACACAACTGGGCCTGTTTTGTTGGGCTTCGGCCCATACTAAAATACTTCCTGCCCAATTACTTTGGACCGGGCTAATAATAATAAACGGGTAAAACGACTTCTGTTGCTGGCGTTTTGAAAGACAGAAACCCTAGTTTATATCAGGGGCTCTGCAAGTGTTGTGTTGTTTGTTTATCAGCATCAGGAGAAGAAGGGAGAGAGAGGGGCGCGAAAATGAGTGGAGCAAAGGGGAAGAAGAAGGGAGCGAGCTTCGTGATCGATTGCGCGAAGCCGGTGGAGGATAAGATCATGGACATTGCTTCTCTCGAGAAGTTTCTTCAGGAGAGGATTAAGGTTGGTGGCAAGGCCGGCGCACTCGGCGATTCTGTTACCGTCACTCGTGACAAGAGCAAGATCACCGTCACCTCTGACAGCAACTTCTCTAAAAGGTGCTTTTTTTTTTATTCATTTTTAATCGATTATAGGATTTCTCTAAATGAAGGGTTTTATTTTTCCTTATGGATGTTCATCGTTAGTTGATGTTATTGTTCTGTTGATTGAGTTATTCAAACTTCAAAGAGAGTAGATCTAGGGCATTGTTTCTGACTATGAGATCAGCATGGCAAAAGCTATTGGTAGAAAACTTTAGATACAGCTTCCAGTCTTTTATGTTTTTCTACAGACTTACCTAACATCGTCGTAAGTAATTTGTATCGTGGAGTATGGGATTGGCTCATGGGTGTAAGATTAAGTGCTGTAATTGTGGTAAAATATGCTTCATTTAGTTGCCCGCTTGTATTTTTAAGTTGTAGACTATTCAAAATGTGTGTTCTAAGGTCTTATGTTGTAAATAGTCTGATTGCTTGCTAAATTGTCTAGGTTGATTGGTAGTAAAACAAACAAAAATTATATATTCAGGTGTTTAGTTATCTTTTTTACTGATTTGACTAGTTAGTTGTTGCTGTATGAGTGTTTATCATGCTTGTATTATGAAATATGGCCTTGAATTCACAAAAAAGGGATTGTCATATCATATTCATGTCTCATTGTTACCGTTAATGCGGTGACTTGTGAGTGAGAACTAGGGAAAATGCTATTCAGTGGTGGCCTTGGCTTGGGATGATTTCATGCATTGAGTAGTAATCTCTACCTGTGATTTTATTATTTTAACACACAATTCATTGACTTGAAATTGAATCTGTTTATTTGCAGCCCAATTTTCTATGGGTGCAAGTCTTCTCTGTAGCATGTTGATTTCCTTCACTTATACTTTGTTTTCGTCACATTTCTCAGGTATCTGAAATACTTAACCAAGAAGTACTTGAAAAAACACAATGTGAGGGATTGGCTTCGGGTGATTGCGTCCAACAAGGACAGGAATGTCTATGAGTTGAGATACTTCAACATTGCTGAGAATGAGGGGGAAGAGGAGGACTGAAGATCCAATCTTCTGTCTTAAAGCATTCTCCTTTAGGCTTAGTTATTGTGGAGTCTCTTTTTATCTGTTTTGTTTATTGACTTGTTACTGGTTGTTTAAATATTCCTGTTTAATTTGGAACCAATATTATGCCCTCGTGAAGTTTTATAGTGATTAATTGGAGAGGTTTTCATAAAAATTCAGATGCATTTCGTTTAGCTTTGTGTTGCATTGCATGGCTATCTTTAATTTGGGTACCATTTACTTCAATAACAGTGCGAGAGGTGTTTTCAGTTTTTCCATCTCCAGTCACGTTGATGATAATTTGATAATCACAAGTATGATTCAATGTTGGATTCATCTTTTATTCTTTAAAGGGCGTTGAACTGGAAATTTGGAAGCCTTGTGATCAGGGCAATGTATCTTGTACGTAAAGGTATCTTGTTGAACGGTTTTTAAGCACATCAAACATGTTAGTCAATTACCAAATAAATAGAAGAATCAACACTGATATATAGTGTGATAGTGTTTCACAAAGATTATACAAAAATAAAAATAAAAAATCATGTCTTTTAAATATACGAGCTACAATATTTTTTTCCCTTGATCTATTCAAAATTATTAATGTTTTATAAAAGTGTGATAATAAGTTAACTTTATGTTCTTTTACTGTATAATGTAAAAACATTTGTTGAAGACTAAGACAAGAGTTTAATGAAAAGAGAGCATTTGTTGAAAACAATTGTTCAATGTGAATTCAAGATTTCGGTGAGTATAACAATGCGTAACATAGAATGATCATGTACTTATTTAGTATCTAGATAATTAAATTCACAAGAAGAATTATCCAACTTCATAGAGTTTTACAACAATTAAGCAACTAACCACTTAATCAATAAAATCAACAAACATTAATAGAATAGAGCGGATAACAAAGAACTATTACATATATTCATTTGGTTGACATCCCTAGTCATGAGATTAGAAATGAATTTATTTTCTTGATCATTTGTAAGGGTAAGAAAGGAGTCAATTCACCTAAAGTAGAATAGAGTGGATTGGTCCATCAAAGAAAATACATTAAAAAAATGTAATACACTCCACTTAATGATCGATTGATTTTCTTTAGTAAGTTGGTGAGTTTAAAAAGGTGGGTTGATAAGTTAACTCATTTTTTAACTTATTCAATTTTTTTTAAGAAAATTAATCTCAATATAAATATTTCAACATATATTATCCCTTTAACATGTAGTTTTAATATTAATTATAAAATTGATTAGAGGTTATATTTTATTCTTTTATATACTAAGAGTCAAAGTAATATATATTTCTATTAAAAAAATACTATATATAAAAATATACTAATAAAAAATATGTGATTAAAATAATATACTTATATTTCATATAAAACGAAAATAATCATCTAGAAGGAGAAGTTGATTATACAATTAAAACATTAATCAAATTTATTACAAAATTATCTTTTAAAAATATAAAACAAAGCAAAATAGATTGACAAGTTGACTTTTCAAATTATTGGATTGAATTCATTATATTAACGAGTTAGATGAATTAATAAATTTATTTATTCAACTCAACTCATGAAATATAAATATGTTGACAAATTATTTACTTAACTCCACCCACATTGTTGTCCCTAATCAATTGTGGCCAAACCTAGGTCGATCCTAAGTAACTTGAACCGCGGGTAAACCAAGAATAATATTTCTGCGACCTTGAACCGCAGGAGTTTATGATTGGTTTCACCAGCAATGCACGCTTCCACGAAGGCGATAACATGTACGCACCCAAGTCTTCATCTATCCCACCCGAACATCGAATCATTCGTGTGGAACAACCTCATTCGAGCCACGACCAGAACCAAACCTCAAAATTCAGCTTTTCCACCACCACTCTCTATTTACCTTCGCATGCGCCTCCATGCGGTGCTCCCCGATCTTCACACCTTCCCATTCCTCCTCCAATCCATCAACAACCCTCTTCAAGGACGCCAACTCCACGCTCAAATCTTCCTCTTTGGTCTATCCAGCGATCCTTTTGTTCAAACCTCCCTCATCAACATGTACTCATCTTGTGCCACCCTCACCTACGCCCGCCAAGTGTTCGACAAAATCACTCACCCCGACATAACCTCTTGGAATGCCATCGTCCACGCAAATGCCAAAGCGGGAATGATTCACATTGCGCGGAAACTTTTCGATCAAATGCCTGAAAGGAACGTCATATCGTGGAGCTGCATGATTTACGGTTACGTAAGCTGCGGCGAGTACAAGGCGGCGCTTTCTTTGTTTCGCAGATTGCAGATGTTGCAAGGTCGTGAGCTGCAACCCAATGAGTTCACCATGTCAGCTGTGATCTCAGCTTGTGCGCGGTTAGGTGCGCTAGAGCATGGGAAATGGGTTCATGCTTACATTGAAAAAAGTGGGATAGAAGTCAACCTTGTGTTAGGGACGTCTTTGATAGACATGTATGCCAAGTGTGGAAGCATTGAAAGGGCCAAGTGCATATTTAATAACATGGGTCCTGAAAAGGATGTGATGGCTTGGAGTGCCATGATTGCTGCTTTTGCCATGCATGGACTTTCCGAGGATTGCCTTGAACTGTTTGCTAAGATGGTAAATGATGGGGTGAGGCCAAATGCTGTGACTTTTGTGAGTGTTCTTTGTGCTTGTGTGCATGGGGGTTTGGTTAGTGAAGGAAAAGAGTATTTCAAGAGGATGAGGAATGAGTATGGGATCAATCCTACAATTCAACATTATGGTTGCATGGTAGACTTGTACAGTAGAGCGGGTCGTATTGAGGATGCTTGGAATGTGGTGAAATCAATGCCTATAGAACCTGATGTCATGATATGGGGAAGTCTTCTTAGTGGAGCTAGGATGCATGGGGACATTGAAACTTGTGAAATATCCATAACGAAGCTTCTTGAGTTGGACCCCACAAATAGTAGTGCCTACGTGCTTCTTTCTAACGTGTATGCCAAGCTGGGACGGTGGAGGGAAGCGAGGCATTTGAGAGATGTTATGGAGGTCAGGGGCATCAAGAAAGTTCCAGGGTGTAGTTTGGTTGAGATTGATGGCGTTATTTGTGAGTTTTTTGCGGGAGATAATTCTCATCCAGAAACGCGAGACATATATAGGATGCTTGATGAGATTATGAAGAGGTTGCAAAAGCATGGTTATGCACGTAACACTGGGGAGGTATTGCATGACTTGGATGAGGAAGGAAAGGAGTTTGCGTTGTCCCTTCACAGTGAAAAACTGGCAATTGCATATTGCTTCCTTAGGACAAGCCCGGGTACCACAATTCGGATTGTGAAGAACTTGAGGATATGTAGCGATTGTCATGTAGCAATTAAGATGATATCTAGGGAATTTAATAGGGAAATTATTGTTAGAGATTGCAACCGGTTTCACCATTTTAAAAATGGGCTTTGCTCCTGCAAAGACTACTGGTAACTATAATGGAAAACTCTGGTAACACTTCAAATTCTAGCAAATTCTAACAAAGTGGGCTCCAAAACTCTAATGCTTTATTTGTGATTGGGGAAACAATTGAACTGAACAGGAAAGAATAGGTGAGAAATGATTTAATAGTAAATGGATAGAAATATAGTCAAATATGATGGAATTTGTACTTATTTAGTAGAATGAAATTAGGTAAAAATTTGAGGAAAATTGATATTTTAAGATTGTATTTTACATAGTTAAAATTTTATGCAAAAATATATAATTTAAACAATTGTACCCATAGTCTCTTTTTACATGTAGTGTTTAAAATTTATATATTTTTTAATATTATTTAGTAGCATAATCAGTTATACTAGTTAACATAATTGATTATGCTAAGTTGTATTGATCCCCTACATGTTTAGTGGCATAATTGATTACTCACCGATTATAGTCCATTATAGTAAACTCTCCGACACAAATAACATGACACATAATCTATTAGGATTTTACCATAGTTGATTACGATAGTTGTCGAAAAGTGTTGAAAAAACAACTTATATTAGAAAGTGAGTCACGGGAAAGAGTTCAAAA